TCAACTGTCAATCAACCAACTGTTTGTAACTAATTTTTTTTCACACCCACACCCCCCAGGAAGTAGCCCGTAACAGTTGTCTAACTCATAGGTACCTATTTACTGCTATGTAACAGGAACATCAGGGTGAAAGAAACTCTGCCCATTTGTTTCTGCCGGCCTCGGGAATCGAACCCCGGTCCACATGACTACGTATGAAGGGAGATTGCTGACCCATCACAGGTCAGGAGCTGGTGGCAGAGGGTGATACTATGGGCCATTCTCAAGGCTACCCAACGTTAATGCAGTGACTAATGCCATCTAGTGGAGAGGTTAACAGTATCTTGTCGATCATTCATTATATGAAACCATCTTGTCAATCATGCAGTATCAGATGATGGTAAACAAAACTGCTGTGAGAATGTTTATTCAAGCATTTTGTGAGCAATCGATAGCAGTTTGACCAGACCACACACTAGAAGGTGAAGGGACGACGACGTTTCGGTCCGTCCTGGACCATTCTAAAGTTGATTCTCAAGTAGAATCGACTTGAGAATGGTCCAGGACGGACCGAAACGTCGTCGTCCCTTCACCTTCTAGTGTGTGGTCTGGTCAAATTACTTTAGCCACGTTATTGTGACTCATCGCCTGCAAATCGATAGCAGTGTTCTGCACGCTCTATCGAATGGCTCGTCCTGTTGTTCATTTGCACTACATCTGCCTTCTTCCAATGGGAGGAATACCTTGTGCTAGACAGAGTTTCTAGAGGCGAGTAAGAGATGCTTTTAGCAGGTTCGGATAACTAGGCCGGCCTTGTTTGACCCCATTACTTTAGGTCGAGTGATTTAAGGAGGTGGGTTAATTGACTTCATCTTAATAATACTGATGATAAGTATGCCAGTGTGGTTGATTTAGACTGAGGACATATGGAGGAGGTTCTTCTCGATTACGGACCAGTATTTTAATAGGAAAATGGTGACAGTAAGCCACATCCTCTCTTTCGAAAGAGAGGATGTGGCTTACTCCCCACTCCTCCCACCTTTTAATTTAATTTTAATTTTGCCCTGAGGGGCGAGTTTATTGGGCAGCGCCACTCATCCTGAGAGTGGACACACCGCCATAGTGACATTATTGGGCAGCGCCACCCATCCTATGCGTGTACACACCGCCATAGCAGCATTGTACAATGCTGCTATGGCGGTGTGTACACGTACAATAGGAAGAAAATACCCCACAATAGGAAGAAAACCCCGCTGGGTTGTGCTACCAACAGCATCTTCCCTACCCACTATCCTCCAGTGCTGAGCCAACACTATGCACATCTTCACCGTCCAATTCCTAACAACTTATATATGCATTTAAATCATATAAATATATATTTTTTTTTACCTTAGTCGCCCTGCCCTCTGCCCCCTCGCAGCCTCCCCACACTCCTCCACAATGGTCTCCATCTCCCCAATCGAGTCATCTCAAAAATTTGCATCATCTGCATAGGAGACAAATTGCGAAAAAGATTGTAGAGGTGAAGAGAGGATGGTAGGAGAGGAATTTTGATGCTTTGGATGTCCCCCTGGGAGGGATGGCCCCCGTGGGAGGATTGGGCCCCCCCCAGTGTGTGGGATGCCGCCCCCCCCGGTGGGATGGATGGCCCCCTCCCCTGGAATGGTTGGCCTCGGGGGTGGCTGGGATGCTTAAGTAACATAAATATTAAGGTGTTTGAATGTCTCCTAAGCTGTCGCATTTTTAACGGATTGATGGAATTAGAAATTCGACATGTTTGGAGAGAGGCCGGAGTGAAGGTGTTGGTGAGTGGAGTGACTGTCATCTGTGTCTACTCTCACTTCTGTAGTCCCGTGCAGGGTTCATGAGGGTCGAGTTGCCTCATGTCTTGCTCCGTGGGCCTGTCTGCCTCTCTGTATGCCTCCGTGGGCCTGTCTGCCTCTCTGTCTGCCTCCGTGGGCCTGTCTGCCTCTCTGTCTGCCTCCGTGGGCCTGTCTGCCTCTCTGTCTGCCTCCGTGGGCCTGTCTGCCTCTCTGCCTGTCTGTCTCTACCTACCTACCTTCCTCTACCTGCCTGCCTTTTTTATTACTCTTCCGTTTCCTTCGTCTCATTCTTTTCACTCTTATTCTTCTTAGTTCTCTTCCTCCATCTCCTCTTCCACAACTCTGGAGAGAGACGGAACAGTAGGGACATGATCACAACATACAATATACCAAGGGGGAATAGACAAGATGGACAAGGACACCCTCTTTATATAATGAAAAAAATAAATAGTGGAAAACAAATGAATCGAAGGAATGTAAGGAAATACTCATACCCTGTACTGGAGGTCAACAAGTGGAATGTTCTGAAAGAAGCAGCTGCGGAAGCCACCTCCATCCACAACTTTATAACATCAGATTCAGCAAAACATTCGGATATCGGGACCGATAAATTAAAACGCAATAGGTTCAGCAAAGTTATTGTGGGCAGCACAGTGTTGCATGGGCCGCGGGAGCTGGCCGGCCGAGTGGACAGCACGCTGGACACGTGATCCTGTGGTCCCCGGTTCGATCCCGGGCGCCGGCGAGAAACGATGGGCAGAGTTTCTTTCACCCTATGCCCCTGTTACCTAGCAGTAAATAGGTACCTGGGAGTTAGTCAGCTGTCACGGGCTGCTTCCTAGGGGTGGAGGCCTGATCGAGGACCGGGCCGCGGGGACACTAAAGCCTCGAAATCATCTCAAGATAACCTCAAGTTGGGTACTTAAACTACTTGCTTCAGCGATACTAATAGGCAATTTGATTCTGCCTATTAGTATCGCATGTTTATGACTGGTGCCTAACCAATATTCACTTAAGATCAATTTGAAATAGTTAAGGAGAGTTCTCTTCGTTTTATGGATTTACAAAATTGTTATATTCCCCCTTTTTTGTCTTTCATCTGTATATATATCATATATTCATTCGGTCGGTGATCTTCAAAATGATGTAACTTCGTTAGGAAGATCGTTAATGGTTGAGATCAGTTGGCCAAGTATCTGGACGGAGTGGCGTTGCATACCTGAGGTCTTGTCTAGTGTGAACCCTTCGCTTGACAAGGTTACTTCAAGGACATCTTCCACGTGTTGGCCACACCCTGTACACCCCACGTCTTGCACACGGCTCTCTCGTCCCTGTCACCATCACCCCTCACCCGTGCCACACCATTCTCTCTCGCCTAGCCTCTAGCTCAATCCACATGACTATTGCGCCTCACCCGTCACATTGGGTGAGGCGCCACACCCTCCCATAAAGCCACACCATCACATAATACCACACTATCCCCTCAGGTGTGGCGCGACGCTCACACTGTTCCCAACGACAACTTCCACCCACTCTTCCTCCTCGTGTCTGCCTCGCATTATGGTTTTTAATCTCCAACGTGACCACCTTAACCTGTTCCCAGGTAAGCTTTCCTGTTTGTCCGGACTCTTGTGGCCGACCCCCCGCATGTGGGTTTGTGGTGGGGCCCCCACCACCAGGCGGCGCCACCGGGGAGCCTAGCGTCATTAGAAGGCGGTAATATATCTTGGATGGTTCTGTATGGTTGCCCCCTGACGTTCACAGACTTTCCTTTTGGTACTGGGGCTTGTGGCTATACCACCCGCGGGGCGAGGCACCTGGGGATAGATTATTTATCAACTAGGAAGTATACTTTGGTCCTGAATACACTTGGTGGTGTGTATATCTAGTGTGTGGAGTAGGGGTACACCTGGGTGCATAAATCGGGCGCGTGGGACGTCATACACCTGTCGTTGTATGAGCTTGTTGTATTGTTGTGTCTGTCACCTCCTCCCACTCCTCAGGGATTATACGTGTCTGCGGAACCTTCCAGAAACTTGATTTGTAAGGTTGGTGGGGAAGGGGGGGGGGGGATTGTGAGCGCTGTGCTGAGAGCACAGCGAGTTTGTGCACGCTCGCTCAAGTCCCTCTCGTGTGTTTATCCTTCACACTCAACAAAATGTCTGCTTCAAGGTGTGTTTACAAAAAAAAATTAAAACACAAAAAAAGCTGCTCGCGGCAACGTAATAGTAAATTTAATAAATTTGTTTTCATGACGTTTGATATTTATTGATAAGTATTTCGATGGACTTACTATAACACGAGAAATATAAATATATATATATATATATATATATATATATATATATATATATATATATATATATATATATATATATATATATACATAATGTGTGTGTGTATTACGAAAATAAACACGTGATTAAAAATGTGACAGTGTCAGACCACGGAGGAAAATTGAAACAGGAATTTCCTTAAGTACTTTCGTATGTTAATACATCTTCAGAAGGAGTCAAAGATGAAGACTCCTTCTGAAGATGTATTAATATACGAAAGTACTTAAGGAAATTCCTGTTTCAATTTCCCTCCGTGGTCTGACACTGTCACATTTTTAATCACGTGTTTATTTTCGTAATACACACACACACTATATATATTATATATAATGTAGTATGTTTGTGTCGTTTGTAGGGGCAGAAAGAGATTTCAACGCGACGCTGTGTGTTCTGCTAAGCTGGCGGAGTTTTCTTGACTGGAGAAAACTTAGGTGGCATGTGCGTGTGTGTGTGTGCGTGCGTGTGTGCGCACGCGTGTGTGTGGGCGAAGCAGAACGGGACAGAGTGAAGAGTTTTGGAAGTGTTGTCAGGGTTCCAGGAGCCAGCGTGCCGGACGGTACCAGTCACCTGTGGGCCGCCCCCGACCACCACCACCGGCTTTCTTTACTCACTTCGCCATCTCCCACTTCATTTCGCCCCTTTTTTTTACTTTACGCTGCTACCTCTATCTACAAACCCAACTAATAATCTAGTCGCGAAAGTAAGGGAGAAAGTACGTTAGCATGAGGGGGAATTGTAAAAGTTTTTAAGCTGGCTGACAACAAAAGTTCCAGCGTGTGTGTGTGTTAGTAAGCTCGCTGAGTGGGACGCTCACCTCTGCGCATGCGCGGCTGGTGCGAGTCCGGGCTTCCAGACAACTTCTTGGTCAGTCGTAACCCATACGCAGTTTGGGGGAGATGTGCTGGTGAATTTTTAGTGGAACATTAAATGAAAATGTGTTATACATCGTGGCTTTCTTTATTTTTACTATGTGTGAGCGTACCTTCGTGCCGGGTGTTGGGACAAATAATCCGAGATGAAGACAGAGGATCGCACGTTCTAGCAGGTGGGTGGAAGGATATGTTTGGTGTACCTGTAAAGGGAGGGAGGGGGTGGTACCTCTCTCTCTCTCCCCCTTTCCCCCCTTTGGCCTCTCAGGTGCTCTACCCTCCCCCCTTTACCCCCTCCTACCCTTCCCTTTCCTCTATCTACCCTCCAATTCCCTCCATCTATTGTGTTTTCTCTTTACTGACAAGTTTGCAGGCTATTTAAGACTTGTTGCATAGAGTTGGTCCTATGGTATGAACCATATATATATATATATATATATATATATATATATATATATATATATATATATATATATATATATATATATATATGACAATGTCAGACCACGGAGGAAAATGAAACAGGAATTTCCTTAAGTACTTTCGTATATTAAATACATCTTCAGAAGGAATACCATTCCTTCTGAAGATGTATTTAATATACGAAAGTACTTAAGGAAATTCCTGTTTCTTTTCCTCCGTGGTCTGACATTGTCACATTCTTAATCACGTGTTTATTTTCGTGATATACACACACACACACACACACACACATATATATATATATATATATATATATATATATATATATATATATATATATATAATAATATAACTGAAAACTCACACCCCATATATAGTCCTGGGGACCATTCAGGCTTGTTTGCATATATATATATATATATTTGTGGTTAGTTGACTTAAAGGAATTCACTGTGAGTCGAGATGCAAACGTCTTTAATAAGAAAGTTAAGACGTTGGGAAGGTTAGTTTGTGTAGGAATGTGTGTGTGTGGGGGGGGGGGGGGTTGCCAGCCTTTGGACATTTGTACAGGTGACCATTTTGACAAAAGGGTGTCTGGGTGTTTTGGCCAGGGTTGACGACCATTATGGTAGGGTGGGGGCCATTATGGCAGGGTGACGACCATTATTGGCAGAATGACGACCATTATGGCAGGTCGAGGACCATTATGGCAGGTCGAGGACCATTATGGCAGGGCGACGACCATTATGGCAGGGCGACGACCATTATGGCAAGGTGACGACCATTATGGCAAGGTGACGACCATTATTGGCAGGGCAACTACCATTATTGGCAGGGTGACGACCATTATGGCAGGGTGACGACCATTATGGCAGGGTGACGACCATTATTGGCAGGGAAACTCCATTATTGACAGGGTGACGACCATTATTGACAGAATGACGACCATTATTGGCAGAATGACGACCATTATTGGCAGGGTGACTACCATTATGGCAGGGCCAGGACCATTATGGCAGGGTGACGACCATTATTGGCAGGGCGACGACCATTATTGGCAGGGCGACGACCATTATTGGCAGGGCGACGACCATTATTGGCAGGGCGACGACCATTATTGGCAGGGCGACGACCATTATGGCAGGGTGACGACCATTATGGCAGGGTGACGACCATTATGGCAAGGTGACGACCATTATTGGCAGGGCGACTACCATTATTGGCAGGGCGACGACCATAATGGCAGGGTGACGACCATTATGGCCGGGCGACGACCATTATTGGCAGGGCGACGACCATTATTGGCAGGGCGACTACCATTATTGGCAGGGCGACGACCATTATTGGCAGGGTGACGACCATTATTGACAGAATGACGACCATTATTGGCAGGGCGACGACCATAATGGCAGGGTGACGACCATTATGGCCGGGCGACGACCATTATTAGCAGGGCGACGACCATTATTGGCAGGGTGATGGCCATTATTGGCAGGGTGATGGCCATTATTGGCAGGGCGACTACCATTATTGGCAGGGCGACTACCATTATTGGCAGGGTGACGACCATTATGGCCGGGCGACGACCATTATTGGCAGGGTGATGGCCATTATTGGCAGGGTGACGACCATTATGGCCGGGCGACGACCATTATTGGCAGGGTGATGGCCGTTATGGCAGGGCGATGACAATTATTGGCAGGGCGACGACCATTATGGCTGGGTGACGACCATTATTGGCAGGGCGACGACCATTATTGGTAGGTTGACGACCATTATTGGCAGGGCGACGACCATTATTGGCAGGGCGACTACCATTATTGGCAGGGTGACGGCCATTATGGCAGGGCGACGACCATTATTGGCAGGGCGACTACCATTATTGGCAGGGCGACGACCATTATTGGCAGGGCGACGACCATTATTGGCAGGGCGACGACCATTATGGCAGGGCGATGACCATTATTGGCAGGGCGACGACCATTATGGCAGGGTGGGTGACCATTATTGGCAGGGCGACGACCATTATTGGCAGGGTGACGACCATTATGGCAGGGCGACGACCATTATTGGCAGGGTGACCATTATGGCACGATGACAATTATTGGCAGGGCGACGACCATTATGGCAGGGTGCCGACCATTATGGGTGGGGCAGGGCGACTACCATTATTGGCAGGGCGACGACCATTATTGGCAGGGCGACGACCATTATTGGCAGGGCGACGGCCATTATTGGCAGGGCGACGGCCATTATTGGCAGTGCGACGGCCATTATTGGCAGTGCGACGGCCATTATTGGCAGGGCGACGACCATTATTGGCAGGGCGACGACCATTATTGGCAGGGCGACGACCATTATTGGCAGGGTGATGGTCATTATGGCAGGGCGACTACCATAATGGCCGGGCGACTACCATAATGGCCGGGCGACGACCATAATGGCCGGGCGACGACCATAATGGCCGGGCGACGACCATTATGGCCAGGGTGGCGACCATTATGGCCAGGGTGGCGACCATAATGGCCGGGCGACGACCATAATGGCCGGGCGACGACCATTATGGCCAGGGTGGCGACCATAATGGCCGGACGACGACCATAATGGCCGGGCGACGACAATAATGGCCAAGATGACTATTATGGTCAGCTTGGTGTGTTTAAGTAAAGTGCCTACCAGCTTCAGTCATTTTTCTAAATAGTTAACACGTTTTTTGTTTTAGTCGTATCCAAAGCCATGCTTTATGAATTAGAAACTGAATATTAGTTATTTGTTTTGGAGTTTGAATGTTTTTAATAAAGACTATTAAAGTTTTTAATTATTTTTTTTAAAGGCTATGAAAGAATATTAGTTTATTTCCTTGGTAAGATAGGAGTGGTTGGTGGGTGTTTAAATTAGTTATTGGGGAAGGTGGGGGAGGATACTAATCTTTGTTGTGTACTGTTTGGGGGCCCCTGGTGTGTGTGGTTTGGGGGGGAGGGCTGACGTGTATTGGGGGTTGTGTGTGGGGGGGCATGGCTTATAGGTTGTGTGGAAGGCGTGATATGTATTGTGGGTAGTGTGTGGGCCCTGGTGTTTGTGTGTGGGGGTCCTGGTGTGTATATGTGGGGGTGGTGTGTGGGGCCCTGGTGTGTATTGTGGGGTGGTGGGTGGGCCCCTGTTGTGTATTGTGGGTTTGGGGGCTGGCGTGTATGTGCGTTGTATTGGGCTGGGGGGGGGGGCGTAGGCGCGTACTGTAGGTTGTGTGGAGGGCCTGGGCGCGTATTGTAGGTTGTGTGGAGGGCCTGGGCGCGTATTGTAGGTTGTGTGGAGGGCCTGGGCGCGTATTGTGGGTTGTGTGGAGGGCCTGGGCGCGTATTGTGGGTTATGGGGTTCGCGCGCGTACAAAAACAAGGGAGCCTCGTGGCAACAACATGGTTCACACGTGTAACAAAGTTACAGCAATGTTTTAAGTTTGCATTAAAGCTGTGGGTTATTTTGTACTTGCGAGAAGGATTTGTATGTTTTATATAATACGACCGTGCTGAAAGGTTCCTTTTCACTACCACTGATAAGAAATAGGGAAACTACAGAAGGCCTTGCCCTATTTATATCCACCCAACCTCATCCGTGTAGCTGTAAGCATACTCTTTTAAAGACGAACATTAGGTCTTGTTACATAGCATGGAATTGGTGGCTGTATTTATAGATATATTGCTTATATTGGTAAGGACGTTGATGCTTGGGCATCTTGAAGGGGCAGCCCGATCTCTATTTGTTATTCCCAAAACACAGCTGTTTTTTCCTAGCCAGAAATGTGTGAACTCAAGCAAAGCCCCTAATATACCGAGGCCGATGCATACAGTATGTCAGTATTATGTTGCTTTAGTTTGTAGTAATACGTCTCATTTGTAACGGATTGGTTGATAACGTAAAAAAAAGAAAAATGTGCCGTGTTAGGTGAGAGAGAGAGAGAGAGGACGGGTTGGTGTGTGAGTGGGAGACGCCACCGGTCTCTGGAGCTCGGTCATTGACTGCCCTCCCTCACTCCCTTCCCTCCTGCTGCTGCTTGAACCGCCGAGCAACAGGTAGAATGTAGCGTTCTTTGTTGCACATGACTCGTGTATTTAGGAGGATTTAAAAATACTCCATTTTATTGCCGTAGGGCATTCGTGAACCGTCATAACACGGTACAGCACCTGGGAGTAAAATTCATAGCTACATTTTTGAGGTACCGGTTGGTAGTTCGCCTGTGCCGTGTGAAACTTAATTACGAAATCGCCTTTCGCTGCGTCCTGTTAATTGCTTTAACTTGGTCACGATAGTGTAGAAACTTTCAAGGAATGAAATTGCTCGGCAAAAGGTCCAAAAGTAATTTCAAACTTCAATTGACATGACGTAACTCGTTTTTTTTTTCCCCAAACTTGGGCTTCACCTACAGTCTAGTTGCTAGGGCTCATCGTGGAGCTAACTTACCATACTTCTTAATTCGAGATTACTTTAAGGTGGTTCAAAGGATTAACGTTGCAATTGCCCCGGGCGCTGACCAGGCCGTCTGGTTGGTGGTCTGGTCAATCAGGCTGTTGGACATCACTGCTCGCAGTCTGACTACAGGCGAGTTGGAATCATTCGTGAAAATGTTTTAATAATTAAACTGAACAGCACAAAAGTGTTCGCTCACACACACCTTGAAATAATATAAACTGCTGGAGCGGAATGTGTTTTCATAGCCCTGGGGCCGGATTCAGGAAGGTACTTACGAAGGTTTTTCCTC